CGGGAAGGTGGAAACCGCCATGGCGGTGGGTCCCCAGATCCAGGGGGCAGCCCCGGGGGCCACGTGCCTGCTGCGTTATCTTGCCCAAGCCGTTCCAAGTGCCTCCCAGAAGGGGACCCACTTCTTCCAGGAGACCAAGAGAACAGGGTCGTGTGCCCTCCCTGTCTGGCCGGGGGCCGGCCCGAGACAGCGGCCGTGAAAGCAGCGTGGAACTTTCCTGAGCAGCGGGAGAGGAAGGGAGGGCCCGCCCAGCCCTGGCCCGCGTGGCTGCGAGGCTTCCGCCCAGACGTGGCAGCGGTCCCCTCGGCTTCCCCTGGCCAAAATGTCAGGCTGCACAGCCAAGCCCAGCGTCGGTGGGGAGCCCCGGTGAGGCGCCGGGCCATCGGCCAGAAGGAGAATCCTCCTACAGGAAGGGCAAGGGGAGCAATCGGTCCTGCGCAGAGCCCGCCCCCTGCAGGCCTGTCGGCCACGGGGCGCGTGAAATAAAGGGCTTGTGGGATGGGACTGCCGATGGGAGTCCCCCGTGGCTGCTGGGAGAAGGGGCCCCCTCCCCCTGCTCCAGGAATGTCTTTCCCAGCACAGACAGGGCGCGCACGGGGCAGAAAGGCGCAGAGCGGCCGCACGTGCCCCTTCCTCTCTCTCTCCCTGCCACCCCGTTTTTTGCCCCCTCCACCCCTCCCCCTCCAGTCGCTCTCCTCCCTCCCTGTCGTCCTTCCTTCCTTCTCCCCTCGTCCCTCTCCCTGCCACCCCCACCGAGTGCATGGGGCCTGAGGAAAACATGCATATTTGTAAACAGCAAGAGAGCACCACACTTTGTCCTTTAGGGATGTCACTTTGCCAAGCAGCGGGGGGACTGGCGGGACCTGTTTCCTGTCTGTGGACTGGAGACACTCAGGAGTGTCACACAGCTGTCGAGGGGCGTCGGCCGCGCTCCGGTGGTCGGGCGCCTCCACCGATACGTAATGTCAGCGCCTGATTCGGGAACCGCGGAACTGGGGTGGCGAGGCTGGCGCTCTCGCTGGCGCGTGTGCTGGTGGACGTGTGCAGAGCCCACCGCGGCCGGGGCCGCAAGGGGCTGCCAGAGGGCGGAACCGGGCCAGTCCGGGGGGTCCCATCAGGGGGCCCGGCGCTGCAGCACGCCCGGCCTTCCCACGAGGGCCTAGGAATGTTCCGGCAGAAATGCGTCTGGTGGGCGTCATGTGCGCAGTCATGCGCGTGACGGGGCGTCCGCGGCCGGGCAGGTCACACTCCGCCCGCTGTTCCCGGTGGCCGTGTGCTGCGGTGTGAAGACTTGTGTGCCCCGCACATTCACGTGCCAAAACCCTAACCCCCAAAGGCGGTCGCATCAGAGGTGGGGCCTTGGGGAGCGTCTGCCCTCCTGAACGGGATCGGAGCCTCGTAACAGGGCTCCGGGAACCCCCGTCCCTTCCACCGAGTGAGGACGGTGAACCGGGGAGAGGCCTCCCACAACGTGCCCGTGCGGCCCCTTGATCTCGGCCCCTGAGCCTGCAGAACTGTAGCAATACATGTCTGTTGTTTCTAAGCCCCTCCCCCATGCCGGTGGCATTTTCTCATCGCGGCTGAGGGGACTGCGACACCGTGCGTCTGGGGGCAGCGGGATGCCGTGGGTGACAGCTCGGCCCGGGGAGTAGCTGGCTCACCCTGTGGCCTTGGACAGGTCCCCTCATCCTTCGGAGCCTCTGAGCAATGGCGCGGCCAGGGGCAGCTGTGAGGGTCCGGGGGCGCGCGCAGGTCCCCGAGGGCGTGTGGGCACGGCAGCCACCCGTCAAGGCGGCGGCAGCCACTCGCAGGCGCAGACAGGAGCCCTGGCTTCCAGGGAAGCCGTGGGCACATTGGGGTTTGAATTCCTCCCGGAGCCCGCGTGGTGCCGGCCTTGGCCTCAGCCCCTGTGGCCCCGAAACCTCCACTCCCCAGCCGTCCGCGGCGCGCGCTTGGAAATGGTGTGGAGCCTTCTAGATCCAATTAGACTCGCCCGAGGCTTCCCGGGGACCCTTTCCAGTGCATTAAAAGCGGCGTCTTGCCCACGGAATCACAGATTGCAGCCCCTGGAGAGGACTCCGCCGAGTGCTCGATGGGCGGGCAGCGCCTGCCCCGCCCCACCCCGCCCCCCAGCTGGCGAGAGCGCCCCTCGTGTGAGCGGCAGGGTGTGGCGGGCACAGCCCTGTCCTGCTCCCGGGCTCCGTCTGGGGTGGGGGAGGGAACCGTGTATCCGTTCAATTCCCTATGAACAGACACGAGTAGTGAAGAGAGAACACCAGGACATAAAGGCGTCAGGGCGGGTGGGGGTCGGCTCTGCCTCCCCTCATCACCCCCCAAGTCTCTGGTCTCCCCGGCAGCGTAGCCCCCAGGGCGGCGGGCGAGTCCCCAGGCTCAGGCTGCATCTGACAAGGCCAGGGGGTGCCCCACAGGCGGCTTCTCCGCCGGCCTCAGCGGGTGCCTGAGCCCCTCCTGGCCCCCCCGCCGTGGCTGCGCTCACTCAGGGGAGACAGGCTGAGGGGTCTCCGTCCTCCCGGCGGCTCCACCTGCCTGTCTCCTGACGGTGGGAGGAGTCTTGGGCGGGGGGACCGAGGGCAGCCTGCTGGCCCTCCTGCTCTCAGCTTCACGGCCGCCTCCCGCCCGGTGTCCTCGGCTGAGGAGGCGGAAGCCAGCCAAGGCGTGCTCCTCGCCCCCCGAGAGCCCACCGCCAAGTCCCCTCGGGGCGTGACTGGCGGCCATCATGCAGAAGCTCCTCAGGAGCGGGAGGCTGTTCCCTTTGTACCTGCCCATCAGAGGTGTCGCCTCCCCAGCGTGCGCCTGGTGGCATCTCCGCGTCCCACAGGAACCTGCCCCCCGCATATGCGCACGTGCGCATGCACACACACACAGACACACACACACAGACACACACACACACAGGGACATGTACATCCACACAACCTCCTGCCGGTGGTCATTGGCCACAAGCAGCTCTGCAGAGAGGCGGGGAGAATCCTGGGGGCATCAAATGCCCCCTCTGCCGCTCCCTTGAGCACCAGCCCCTTGACCGAAGGTCCTCCCTGGGCACGTTTGGCCTTGCGCCCAGTGGGGATGGCAAGGACTCGCCGGGTGCCACGCTGGCGCCTGCCCTAACACAGCCCTCACAGCACCTGGAGAGGGAGGTCACTGTTATTAGACCCGTATTAGATATGGGGAAACGGAGGCACAGGAGGGCTAATTTCCTAAGCCAGGGCCCCACAGCCGGTGAGGGGCTGAGGCAGGGCCCACCCCAGGCTGCCCGGAGCCGGCGCGCGGGCACCACAGAGCTGGCCTAAGATGACTCTCTCCCGCATGTCCTCGGGTGGTTGTGAGAAAGTGGCTGCTCACGCGCCGCGTCGGGCTGTGGAAGGCGCCGGAGCCTGCCGCTGTGGCGTGGGCTCCGCCTCTGCCCTGGGCGTGTGGCGCGCTGTGTCCCCCTCTTGGATCTGGTCTGGGGTCCATGCGCCCTGCGTCTTGCACTTAGTAGTAAATATCTGCAGCTTCTGAAGGGACGCCTGAGGGTTTTGTCAGTGGGACTGGGCTGGGTTGGATCCAGAAACTGCGTGGCCGCCGCCTCTTCTGCAGGGAGAGAAGTGTGAGCGGCCGGTGGCCCTGGCTGCGCCGGAAACGTTGCCGGAGGGCAGGCCAGGGGCCGCCTCCGTCCTCCTGACCCGCCGGCTCTCCCCGGGCTCGCAGTACCGGCTGGCGCTGGGAGATGGCGCCCTTCCCCAACAGTTTAATCCACGGCTCCCAGCCCAGAAGCTGCCACAGATGCTGGGTCAGAGTCAGGGAAACACCAGTCACAGAAACTCCTGCCGCTGGCGGGTCAACACCCAGCACTCAGGCTGGGCCATCCCCAGTAAAACTGAGTCCCCTCGGCAGGTAGGGGTGGAGCCGCAAGGGGGTGCCCCTGGCAGGGGGCATCGGGTGGGCCAGCTGCCCCTGCCCCCAACACCCGCCAAGGAAGAGAGGTGCACCTTCACTGATGGAAAGGTGTGGCGGGCGTGATGGGGATGCAGGGTGCAGGCCTTCCGGACAGCTGGCAGCGGGCCCGGGGGCCCCCAGGAGAAGCCTCTGGTCACCTTAGAAGAACTCAGCCCCCCGAAGGTGTTTGGCCCAGTCAGCTGAGCCCCCAAGAAGGGCTGGGGGCCGGTGTCGGCCCACCTTGCTCCCTGCCTGGGCACCTGGGCTGGCTCCATCCCCAGCCCCTAACCTCAGACCCAGGGCCCCCACACCACACTGCCCCTGGGCAGGGTCCCTTTAGCGTCCCTGCTGGGGTGCCTGAGCCCCAAACCCACACCCAACCCCTGCTCCGGGAGCACGCACATGCCCCTCCACCTGCACCCAGGAGCCCACCCTGGCGGACGTCCGCGCGGGCGGAAGACCCCGCGAAGGGCTGCTCTGGAGCCAGCTAAGGGCTCGCCTCCTGCGGCTGGGAGCCCGGGGCTCCCTGAGAACTAGGTCCCCAGCAGCGGGGGTGGAGCGGCCCCGGAGGGAGCGTGGCCTCTGAAAGACCCCGGCCCGCGGGCGGCGACGGGGCGGCGGCCTCGGCCCATCAGTGCCGCTAAGCCGCGGGAGGACCTTTATTATTCCGGGGGCCGTGGTCTGTCTTTTTGCCCCGGTCACCCCATCCCAACTCCTGGCGACCGACGTGTGCAGACCTCACAGCCAGCAGCCAGGGGGCGGCGGGGAGCCGGAGTCGGGAGGAAAAATCCACCCATTTCCTGGGCAGATTGCGTCGCCGGCCGTGTCCCCGCCTCCCGGCCCCGGCCCCCGCGCGCGGTGTGCCTGGCGCTCAGAGCCGAGCCGGCGGCCCTTCCCGGCGGAGGCAGAGCGCGGAGTGGCGCCGAGGGCGCGGCGGCACCGGCGCCCGGACCGCGGCGCGGCGCGCAGAGGCCGCCGGCGGCCCCTCTCCCTGCGCCCGGAGGCGGCGCACCATGGCCGGGGCGCGCGGGGCGGCGGCGGCGGCGGCGGGCGTACGGCGGCGGGCCGAGGGGGCGCGGGGACACGGCCGGGCGCCCCTGCCCGCCGCGGTGCCCGCCGCCTGAGGCTGCCCGGGGGCGCGGAGCCGGCGCGGCGCGGCGCGGGCGCAGGAGGCGACTCGAGGCGCGATGTCGGTGCCGCTGCTCAAGATCGGGGTCGTGCTGAGCACCATGGCCATGATCACCAACTGGATGTCCCAGACGCTGCCCTCGCTCGTGGGCCTCAACACCACCCGGCTCTCGGCGGCCCGCGGCGGGACGCTCGACCGCAGCACCGGCGTAAGTGCGCCCGCCGCCCGCCCTCGCGCGCCCCCTCCCTCGCTCCCTCCCGACTCCAGCCCCGGGCTGGGCGGACGCCGCCGCGGGGAGCCGGGCGCTGGGGCAGGGGGCGGGCAGGGGCCAGGGGGCGGCTCCTCTGCGTTGCGGTGGCGACGCTGCTCCCCACGCGCCCAACCCGGCCACTCCCGCCGCGGTCCCCCCACCCCCGACCACGCTTCCCTGCTTTACTTGGTCCCCTCTCAAGGCGGGGGGGTGCCGGCTCACGGACTCACTCAGGCTTGGAGTCCTCACCCAACTAATGACAAGTCCCTCCTTGATGAGGTTAGGGCTGAGGCAGGGACTTGGGGACTTGTCCAAGGTCACTGGGCAAGTAAGCGTTGGAGACGCCGCTGCTCCACCCCAGTAGAGCTGGGTCCGCCCAGGGCACCGAGGGAAGCCCGCCCTACTTTGTAAGAGCCGGACTCGACCGGCCTGGCCCTGGGCTGGGGAGCTGGTGCCCTCCACTGCCTGTGCGCCCCCGAAGTCCCTAGGTGCCTTTCCCGCCCCACCCCCACTGGAAGGTCCATCCAGAAAGGGGGTAGAGGGGCCGGGGCCAGGCCCTGGGAGGGGGGCCCTCGCTGCGCTGGCCCCCTCGCTTTCCCTTCGGCGCCCGCGCCCGCACCGCCCCGCCTCCCTTCTCCGGGCCTGGGGGAGGGGGCCAGCGCCCGGCTGCTTCTCAGCAGGGCTGACCTAGCCGGTGGCTGAGCCGAACCACCAGGAGCCCGGGGCTGAGCGCCCAGCGAAGGGGTGCGCCCTGGCCCGCGCGGCCAGCTGAAAGGAGAGGTGAAGGACACAAGGCTCCTTGCTCTTTTGTCGCTGTGGAGGGCGCAGGCCTCTGGAGGAGGCCTCCCAGGGACCCCCTCCTGAGACGCTAATCGCCTCACCTGACGTGTCAGGAACTGCACCCACTGTCTCCTTCATAAGGACTTGGCGCCGCCTCTGGATCCTGAGCGGCTGAGCTGGAAATGAATGAAATGAAATGTATCCCCACTGTAGTTTCTCCCCACCCAACTTCTCCCATCCCGGTGCTAAAAATAGCCGAGGTGACCTGAGGCCACCAGGCAGGCTGCAGGGGCCTCAGGAGGGGACCAGGGAATGTGCTGGACGTCCGGCCCGTGTGCCCCGCGGTCAGGACCCCCTGAGCTGGGCTGCAAGGTGACACCGGCCATTCACGGCTCTGGTTTCTTGGTCGCCCTTGGGCACACCTCGGGACTGAGGTGGGGTGTGACGCCCTGCCCAGCATGTCACCAGAAACTTGGTGTTGGTGACATCCGCCAAATGGCGCGTGGGTGGCCGCTCGCCCAGAGGTGGCCACCTGGCGTTCTCTGGGGTGGTCTGTGCCAGAGGCCAGTGGGGAGGCCCCGGAGCTCAGGGCTCCTGGCCGCTTGGGACTAAGAGGCTGTTGGATCTCGGCTGTTAACGGCAGGACAGCGGACGTGTCGCCTCTGAGCGAGAGCACCAGGGAGCAGCTGCGTGAGGCTGCGCCAGCCCGCCCCCCCGCCTTAAGGGGAAGAGATCTTATTTCTCAATTCTGTGCCCACTCTGAGCAAGCAGCCTGCCCTCCCCACCTCCCTCCCCTTCAGCTTCGGCCTGTGCTCGCCCCTCCCCCTCTACCTAACGGGCCCATTTGGTCAGATGCCAAAACTCCAATACCCCTCGCATTTAAAAAAAATATAAAGCGTTGTGCCTGCTTGGCTCCCTCCCAGCCCTGGGGACATTGACGGGAGGCTGTCTCTTTGTTCTCAGGGCCCCCTCCCCTCCCCGGGTGGGAACGTGTCTTGAAATCACTTCTTTCTGCTTCCCCCCCGCCCCGGGGTTGGTTGGGGACCCTCCTCCCTGGCGTCTTCCCTCATGTCTCGCTTTCTCTGCCTCCCCTCCCCCCACCCCTGCACCTGCCCCGCCCCCGCCGCCCACCGTCTGCAGGTGTTGCCCACCAACCCTGAGGAGAGCTGGCAGGTGTACAGCTCCGCCCAGGACAGCGAGGGCAGGTGTATCTGCACGGTGGTCGCCCCCCAGCAGACCATGTGTTCGCGGGACGCCCGCACCAAACAGCTGAGGCAGCTCCTGGAGAAGGTGAGTGCGCGCAGGGTGTGCGTGCGTGCGCGCGCGCGGGTGCGCGCGTGAATGTGTTCGCGCCCCGACACCCAGGTGGGGCACCTGCAGCGGCCAACTGTCCCAGCTGCAGGGCCGCACCCTTCCCCGTGGGGATGTTTGGGAATGAGGCGGTGACACCAGGGAGGCGCCCCAGAGGTGGCCCAGCAGGAGACGGGCAGACCTGCCCCGGTCACCGCCGGTGCCACTGAGGAGCCGCGTGGGCTGGCTTCCCCCACGCCGCCTCTCCCGGGGGGCCCGTCCCCAGCAGCTTCCTGGGACCCAGGGCGCGCGGCCACGTGGGTTTTGCCTGAGGGGGCTTATTTCCCTGCCTTTGAGCAGTGGGACCCGGCCGATGGCCAGGCGCGGTGCGTCCCCCCGGCCCCGCACCATGGATGCGCCCTTGATGCAAGTGCAGATTAAGTTGTCACCTTCATAACCCACCTGGGGACGGCACGGAGCAGGTCGCGTCAACATTTTCACTCCATCATTTCACTCAGTCTTCTCGGAGCCGTGTGAAGTGGGCGCGGCTTTTCACCCCATTTCAGGGAGTGGGCACTTGGGTCCGGAGAAGGGGGCTGACCCTTCCCACGCAAACAGCCGCTTCGCAGGGAGTGCTCACGCCCGGGTCCCCGCTGCCCCCGGCCCGGTGGCCCCTGCCCCACAGAGGCGGCCGCCCCGCGTGGCCGGGCCCACGCGGCTCCTGGCAGGTCCTGCCCCACGGGCCCCGGGCGCTCCCATCCCGAGTGTCGGGGCCTCCTGGGAGCCCCCGGGGGCGGGAGGAGAAATGGGGGGGCTCTTCTGATCCACTCTCCCCCTCCCCCAAGGAGAAGGGACCGCTCAGGCCCTGAGAGAGTGGGTCACACCACACACGGACAGACACGCCGTACAGCCACACCACACAGATACACACACAGAGATGCATCACAACCACATGCAGCTACTCACACACACATGCACCTTACATGCAAATACACACGCCTCACATAGGCACAGCTCCACACACATCACACCGCACACACAAACACCACGCATGCTCACATCGCACACCACACACAAATACATGGTTCATACACATCACACACCACACACAAATACACGGTTCATACACATCACACACCACACACAAATACACACCCCTCACAGAGACACAAATATAGCACACATCACACGAATACACACCACACACATGCTCATGTGCATCACACGCCACAAATACACATCACATAGACACAAATACACAGCACACAAAAATACATACAAATCCTCGCATATACACCACACATAAGTACATACACACAACACATGCTTACATGCATCACACAAGTACACACCACACATACACATGAATATACACACGCCACACACACATATCTGCACGCTACACACAGATACATCACAGACAGACCCAGGCAGCCGCGCGCACACGCATGCGCCACACAGCCACACACGCCTGCCGTGCACACATGTGCACACGCGCCCGCACAGCAGCTAAGCCGTGGCTCTCCCCTCCGCTGGGGACAGCAGAGCAGCCTTCCGTGGGGCGCCGGCCAGGGCTGCAGGAGGCGCAGGCCCTCAGGCCGGGAAGGTGTGGCGGCCGGGGGGCAGGCGGGAGGCCCGGTTGGTCTGCAGGCGGCCTGAGGGTGCAGAAGGACCTCGTCTCCACGGGCAGGAGGCAGGCGCGGCGCGGGCCATGGTGCCGCGGGTCCCTGAAGCCTGCTCCCCTTTAAGGGGCAGAGCGTTCCTGTTCTCTAGCCACGGAGTAGGTCGTTCAAAAAGAATGAAAGTAAAATGCTTTTACCAGATTCCACAAACATTCATTAACAGCAAACGAGACCCAAAGCTAATTGAGCCTTTAATTATTCAGAACTGCGGAGGAGAGGGGTGGGGCCTGCGGGGGCCTCCGGGGCTGCAGGGGGCAGGGGGTCCGCTGAGACCAGGACCTCCAGCTCCCAGGAGGTGACAGAAAGCCAGCGCGGGCTCCCGGAAAGCCCTAGGGGCCCTGGGACTGCAGGCCTGGGAGCTCTCCTTTCTGGCCGCTTGTTGGCCGGTGTCACCGCTGAACCATCTACAGCGCTGCTCACATCCCGGCGGGCGGGCGGGCGCTGCGCGCACAGGGCAGCCACCGGTGGCCGTGAGAACACGCCGCGGGCCTTTCTCTCTGGGAGGGGCAGGGCTGCCATCTGCGCCCCTCCCCCACTCCTCCCTCCCCCGCTCCTCCCTCCTCCGCTCCTCGCCTCCTCCCTCGGCTCCCTGCCTGCCCTCCTCTCCCCTTGGGTGGGGGTGGGGGCCGGAGGCCGAGCAGGGCACAGCCCGGGGCTGCCGCAGGGACGCGGCCCCGTCCCTGGCGTGGGGGAGCCCTCCCTTCGGCCCCGTTCCTGCACAGTGGCTCCGTGTGGCAGCCGCCTGCGAGCGCCCCGCCGTGGGCCTGGGTCCCGCACCCAGAAGCCCTGCTTGGCATTGGCCTGGAGTCCTTGGGAGGCGCGGGGGGCGGGGGCGGGGGAAGGACCCCCAGAGACCTCAGGGCTCAGGAGGCAGGTGGGGTCTGAAGACACACACACAGGGCCCTGAGTTTGATGGCGTGGGCCTGGGGGTTAGGCCAGGCCGGGGCTGTGGCGATCGACCGGTGGAAAATGTTCCATAAACATTAGCAATTAGTTGTCCCCCGAGGCCGGCTGAGCCTGCACCCCACCCCCCACAGGCTGAGGAGAGAGCGGACGCTCAGAGATGGAGCTGCCGTCCTCCGCCTTCTCCCAGGCGAGAGGATCCCGCGGGGGTGACCCGGGCCGTCACCTCCAGCTCGGCCAGGGACGGGGGCTCCCTCTGGGAAGTGGCAGAGTAGCGTGGCAGTCCTCAAAGTTTGGTTTCCAAATACAAAATTGAGTATTTTAAAATTTTATTGTGAAATGCATTGCTTCTCTGGCAAATGAGAAGCCCGTTGGCAGTGTGCAGACCCCGGAGAGAAGGCGGGACCCGAGCCACCAGTCCACAGCCCTTAGGCAGGAGACTTGTCCCCTGGGGTGGGGGCGGGGTCTGGGCCAGGCCACCGTTTGTGTCCCTGCCTCCCAGCCAGGTGGCTGCGGGGTTGCTCCTGTGCTAGAGGGGGCTGAATCCCCTGCTCGGGTTACAGGCGTGAAGGAGACCAGGCCCTCTCCCTCAGTGGCTCTCCAGTCCCACGAAGTGGTTGAGACAGGTGTGTAGGTCACTGCCGAGCAGGCATTGTGCCAGCGAGGTGATGTTTCTGAGTTGTATGCAGCCCCGGCGGGCTCAGCTCATCAGGGAGGCCTACCTGGAGGCGGTGCCGTTTGGGCTGGGCCTTGAAGGGCAGGGGAGAGCAACCAGGAAAACTTTTCTCAAAAGAAGTGCTGCAGTTATTCAAAGTGACAGAATAAGACAGGTGGACTTAACGTAATAGAGCCCATATATTTTAGTTCCCGTAAAACATCTAAAAAGAATCAGAGAATAGGGCACTCCCATGCTGGATCGTAACCGGAATTTTTCAGCTGCATTTGTGTATGTTACTTTCAAATAACAACTCATAATATTCCCGGCCTTTTTAAGGGCGTGGTGAGTGCCAGTTTTCTCTTGCTGAGAAGCCCTTTACTTGGCTCTTATTTTATTTTACTTTATTTGGGGCGGGGGGGACGTGCAGTAAGAAGTGGAAACCACGCCACCAGCTCTTCTTTTCACCGACCAGGCAAAGGGAGCCTCGTCCCCAGATGACTTTGTTCCTAAAAGGGAGAGTCTTTCCAAAACCAGCAGAAACCCAGAAATGAAGGTTTGCCTTTGGGGAGGGGGGTCCCTCCCTCCCTCGCGATCCAAATGGACTCTGAGCGCACGCTCCGCTCCGCTCCCCGCCCGCCCCTGCAACGCTGCCGCGCCGCACCCTGCCGCCGTGCGCACCTGCCCGGAATCACAAGCTGGTTTCCTAAAAATAAAAAGCAGGTGGTGGCGCCGAAACGGTTTTTCTTTTAAGCTCCCTGGAACCCTGTTGAATATTAAAGTTCCGTCTTGAGGCGAGACTCAATCCAGACCTGCCTGTGAGGATGTAAAACAGCGATTCTTCATTTGCTGGGTGATTGATTTCTGACTCCAGGCCCCGACTGTACATGTTTGCAGAGCGGGCGTCTCCCTCTGTTGTTGGGTGTGATGGATGGCGTACAAGGTGGGGGGAGGAGGGCCTGGCGCCAAGTCACACGGAGCCTTCCCTGGTTCCTTCCCTCCCCACACGCCCGACCCACACGCTCCGCGAGGCACCCCGGGAGGTTTTGGGGGCCAGAGCAGCCGTGCCTGGGCGGCCAGGGGGGCGGGCCAGGATGCTGTTCTTCCTCACGGGTGCTTCTGTCTGCCTAACTGATTTCATCCTGCAGAATAGAGAGAGTGGGAACCACTCACAAAAAAGAAGGGGAAAATGAGCCCAAAGCCGTCAGCCAGGAGCTGTGACCCGCGCGGAGCTGGGGCTCCCGCCCCGGTTTGCATCCTGGTCGAAAGGGCGCGCGCCGGGAGAGGGCAGAGGGGAAGGTTGCCAAACCGTTTCTCCGCGTTTGTGGAGCGCTGCGCCCCCACAACCCTGACGCAGGCGACTGACGGGTAGTAAGGCGTTGGCCGCTCCGGGCTCCCAGCACGGCGGCCATGTGGCGAGGTCATGGTCGCGCATTAGGAGGCGAGCAAGAGGCGCTCGCCGCGGCCCCTGCCTTGAACCTGCTGCCTTTCGACAGGTGCAAAACATGTCCCAATCCATAGAGGTCCTGGACCGGCGGACTCAGCGGGACTTGCAGTATGTGGAGAAGATGGAGAACCAGATGAAAGGGCTGGAGTCCAAGTTCAAACAGGTGGAGGAGAGCCATAAGCAACACCTGGCCAGGCAGTTCAAGGTATGCGTGCTCCTCTCCCTCCCAGACCGGATTGCTTTCCCCGCAGGCTTCCCCTTTCCCTTTAGAGATAGCGATTGTGGGGTGGGGGGAGGGGGTGCCCAGCAAGGCTTGCCCTTTGCCGTCCTTGGAAATGGACTCCACCTGCCCTCGCCCCGAGGGGAGGGCCCGGGCCCTGGTCGCCAGCACCTAGCAGCTGCTGTGGCGGCCTCGGTCCCGGGCCCTGCGCCTCTGGAGCCCCGCCCCAGGGTAGCAGGGGCGGGGCCTCGCCCGTCCGTCCCTGCCCTTCCCCAGCTGCCGCAGGTGCACCCCGTCAGCTGAGGATTAGCTTAGCTGATTAGAGCCGTCTCGGAGCCACGATCACTCAGGCCGCTTTTCACGCCTGACCTCACTGGCTCCAGCGTGTCGTTTGGCTCTGACACGGCTCACTGTAGAGGCACAGGGAGGAGAGAGAGACACCAGCGTCTTTCTCACACTGGTAAGTACCCCTTTTCTCCAGACACCTCGGCACCTGAGAGTCGGAGTTTGACCTAAAATCCTATGTACATACGTATGAGTACGTCTGTGTACGCCCAGAGTTGACGCAGCCTCAGAGCTGCTAGACTGAGATGATATGCACCTTCGTTAAGGTATACATGCATGTTAATGGGAACTCGGTCACCCAGCCCCTCCCGACCAGAAATCGCTGACGCGGCCGCCTGTGGGCCCTTTTGCTGCTCAGGCCTCCCTTTGATGTGCCCCAGCAGGAAGCAGGAACGGATTGGCTTTTAAAGCCATACCTTCTGTAGACGAAATGGCAAGCTAATGAAGTTATAAATCTCTGTTATGAATAAAACAACAGCAAGCCCGACCCCGTGCAGGAGAAAGGAACGGTCGCTCTGGTTGGGGGCAGGCGGACGTCTTGTCCTTGCTCCGACCTGTCAGAAATTACCCCGGAAAGAGATTCTGACCAGCCCGACCACAGAGATCTTGTGTCTCTCCCTGAAAGGCCAGCCGCCCCTCCTCTGGGGTGGAGTCAGCGTCCTCCAAAGACGAGGGGGGTCTTCCGGCGCCGGGGCCAGCTCCACGGCGCCGGCCGCTCAGCCACTTCTCCCTGTCCTCACATTCAGGGCACGGTGGCTCTGGGGGAAGAAACGCGAGCCTTGTCTCGTACCACGCCCTCGTGGCCTTAAACACATCCCCAGAAAACGCTGTGAGGGAGTCTCTGCCACCGTCCGCGCAGTGTGTTTGGACTAGCGCTGGCCCCAAAGTGCGACTTCCTTTTTTTAAGTGACCGTGCGCTTATCTGTCTGTGAGTGGCTGTCTGTGCGAGGCCAGGCTAGTGAGGTAGCTCTTCAACGGTATTTCGTTTTCTTGCTTGCAGGGCTAACCTAAAAGCGTTTTTTCAATGCCGCAGTGACTGAAGAAGCGAGTGCCCATGCCCCCATGAAAGAGGGTCAGACAGCTTTGTGCACCTTGCATTTTTACTGTTACTTTCCAATCCTTAGCGCCATTTCACTAAGGAACCTTGACTCCAACCACGATCCTCTTTTGCATGCGGCCGTAGATGCATCCCACGAATACTTTGAACCCTTGTCGATGCATTTTTTGAAAACGAAAAGAAAAAAAAAAAGAAACTTTGTGTATGTGACTGAAAGCATGTAACCTTAAGATGTGGCATTCTACCTGACAATAAAGACCTTTCCCAAATATGATGGTGTTCTGAAGACTGTTTCATACGCTCTTCTAACTCGGTTGGACCAGGCCGTAAATAAACGCGTAACTGAGGCGGGAGCGTGCTCGGCCCCTCGCCCCGGGAGAAGCCAGGCCAAGGCAGGGTGTGACGAGTTTTTGCACGCACTGCACTGAACCCAGCTTATTTTGACCTTGCAGGCGATAAAAGCGAAAATGGATGAACTTAGGCCTTTGATACCTGTGTTGGAGGAGTACAAGGCCGATGCCAAATTGGTTTTGCAGTTTAAAGAGGAGGTCCAGAATCTGACGTCAGTGCTAAACGAGCTGCAAGAGGAAATTGGCGCCTATGACTACGATGAGCTGCAGAGCAGAGTGTCCAATCTTGAAGAGCGGCTCCGTGCGTGCATGCAAAAGCTAGGTAGGCCCAGCACCCGGCGGGGCGGGGCAGGCGCGGCGCGGCCCCGCCCACCGCGCCCTCCGCCTCGGGCGTGGTGCTGAAGCGGACAGCGCCCGCCTGGCTCCCGGAGCCCGCGGCCAGCCAGGGCTCCCGGGCAGAGCCGCCTGGGCAGAGCCGCCTGGGCAGAGCAGAGGCGCGCACGGTGCACCCGTGGAGCGCGGGGGCCCGCTCCCAGACCCCCTGAGTTGCACCAATAGGATGATGTTAGATGTTACAAACCATCTGAGGAGTGTGCGCGCGCGCGCGCGCGCCTGTGCATTGGGGTGAGTTCTTTAGGCCCAAGGTGGTTAGGGCTGAGTCCCATCTCAGACTCCCTCCAGGCCCAGGATGAGGGCTGAGGAAGCTCCGATGCTGCGCCAAGCCTAGAAAAGGGCAGATGGAGTCGCACTGCAGTGAGAGCGTGCCCATGCGCAGCGTGGGGCGGAGCCTGGGAGGATGGAGCTCGGGAGCCCCAGCTCCGAATTTCCGAAAAGGCCCCGCACCGCAGGGCGACCCCTTTGCATGCTCCTTTGTGCTTGAACACCCACCTGCCTCGCGAACCTTCCAGTCAACTGCCCTAACAAGCGTTCACGTCTTAGTGCCTGAGTCCACGTTTAAACAGCGCCCTCCAAACCCACGTCTAGGCTTTCCCCGTTCCCAGTTCCATTTCCAGGCGTCTTCAGAGGTTCTTGCCGCCGATTTTAAGGCAAAGGTTGCTCATTTTCAGAGTGTCTTTTTTTAGAGCGACTCAGGGCACCTCCGCTTTATGAAGAAGGTTCCCTTTGGTTTTTATTTGATGTTCTCAGTTCCCTTTTTCTCCACCCCGCCCCCCACCCCCATATACACATGCGCGCTCCAAGCACCTTCTTCTGAACTGAACGCGTCCCAGAAGAAGAAAGGCCGTTGCTGTTGTCAGTGGGCCCAGGAGTCGAGCCAGCCAGCCCTTCACCTGAGCAGGTTCCCGCGTCTAGATGACCTTCAGCACCGCCCCAGGCGGCCAGCGCAGGCACACACTTTAAGGCCCCCAGCCCCCGGGCAGCCTGAGGCGTGTTGGCGTGAAGAACGAATCTGTGTTAATGTGCCCCACGAGCGCGTGTCTCCTGCGTGTTTTCATGGCGCGCTTCATGGTGCCCCAGTGCCGGTGTGTCAGAGGCTGGATGGCTGCGGACCATCCCAGGAGGGGTCTGGGAGGAGTGGCCTCTCCCAGCTCATCTCCTGTTGACATTTTCTGAGAGTGCGTGCGACGTTTGAGAGGCCAACGGTGGCGGGGCCGTGCCGATGATCGTGGGGCTACGCGGTTGTTTCCGTTGGGCACGTTCTTTGGCTTTCTGCCTGCGATGACCCTGAGCTCCCTGTCACCGCCATCTCTCCCAGACCCTCCAAACCCTCCCACTGCAGGGTCTCTCTTGGCCTCTGAAGCATCCGGAATGGGGGAGGGTGATTGTGATATTTTGCCCCCAAAGCAACCCCCTCCCTGGTATACAGGCTGTGCATCCCAGGGAGAGACCAAGGTAAAACCTCCGTATCTTTCAATGAACGGGCGAAGGAGCAAAAGGGAAACCAGAGCAAACCGGTATAAACGGGGAGGAGCTCAGGGCCTTCCGGGGCGGTGCCGCCCCTCCCAGGACGCGCAGCCTTGCCCCCTGGACCTGGCCTATTTCTAGAAGCTGGTGAGTTCGCCTTCGGCTCAGGGTCCTGGGGCTGTCACATGGTTGCCCTCTATGGCTCTCTAGGGGGTCAAGAGAGGGCAGCGAGGCCCCAGAGGCCAGCTCTCCTCAGCGCAGCGCCGCCCCGGGACGCGCCTCCGCTTTACGTCTCTCTTCAAAAGCCCTGGGCATGCAGGGAGACCCATGAGTCAGGGTCTGCAAGTGCGGCCCTGGGGTCCGCACGGAGCCGGCACCCGGCGGATTCGGGTGAATGGAACTGGGACTCCCCGTCTGGGGGAGGCAGGAAGCGCCCCAGGGAGCTGCGGTGACCAGCTCGGGTTTCAGCCTCTCTCCGGCTGGGAGACGAAGGTGGCGGAGTCCCTGTGCCCGGGGCCTATGGTGCATCCATGGGCGTCATTCACATCGCGCGCTCCGCACTGCGACCCGTCCAGGGGAGGGGCAGGATCGGTGGGGAGGGGCAGGGAGATAGATACGTACATACATAGACAGACAGACAACAGATGATTCAGAGACAGATGGGCAGACAGATGACAGACAGACCGATAGATGATAGGCAGACAGACCAACAGGTCCGGCAGCTGCTGCCGCCTCCTCGTCCTGGGCTTCCGTTCAAGCTCAGCAACTTAATTGCCCCCTGGACATCCGGTGGCTGCGCTGTGTAGCCTTTATTTGAGGCTCGCAAGGGGCCGCCTCCCTTGCCCAGGGGTTGCTGACGTGCCCAGGACCGGGGGCGGTGGCCCTCTGCCGTGGAGCCGGCGCTGACAGCTGTCCCCTGCAGGTGGACAGAGCTGTGGCGGCTGCAGACCAGGGCAGCCACACCGCCGTCCCCGCCCCCTGCCCCTGGGCCCCTGGGGGGAGTCCGATCGGGCTCCCGGGTCTAGGGCACAGGGGTGCGGCCTGGGGCTCAGCCTCCTGTGAGGTGCACCTGCTCAGATGCTTCCCTCCTCCTCTTCCCTCCCCTCCCCTCCCCCACTCGCTCCTGAGCACCCTGATGACCGAGGGCCACCGCCGTGAACTGAATGTGCCCACACGGGACCGCAGGGCACTGCTGTGGGTTTGTTTGTTTAGATCCTGGCAGCTCCCGAGGTCCTGGCAGAGCCAGTCTGGATGGAGAACCAAAAATAACTCCATGACTCAGGCAGGGCAGCCTACAGCCCGGGCCCTGGCTCTGGCCCTGCTGCCGGCCGTGGGAAGAGCAGGGCTCCGGGGTGGCTGGCCCACCCCGCCCGCTCTCATCTGCGCCCTCAGGGCCGCCTGGGGGCCAGCAGAGGGTGCCTTTCAGCCCGAGCCCGAGCCCAGAGCACCCAGGTGAGGGGGAAGGGTGCCAAGCCCGGCAGAGCCTCCTGCACCTGCAACCTGTCCCCAAAGCGGCCGCCTCCCCTTCCGCGCGGCCACAGGCCCCGAGATCCTCCGCGGGCCGGATGCAGGTCGACCGTCCACGGTGCTCTCAGGCTGGGCCCACAGTAACGACAGGAGCGTGGCCCCCACCAAACGCTCCCCTGCCCTGTGTCAGACGGGCCACTAGACGCTCTGCATTGCTTAGCAGCTGGAACCCTCACCCCAGCCCTCCCAGGGGGCCGCCCTTGTAGACCAGGGACCAGCACAACCATCTCGGTGCCACACTGCCTCCCGCTCCCTCTACTAGGGCAGACAGTGAAGCGAGAGACTTCGAGGATTTTCTGAGAGATGAACGATGTCACCTCCAAGTGCCTGGCAGATGAATCACCCGCTCGTTCTCACCTTCGCTCATCCATCCATCCATCCATCCATCCGTCCATTCGCTCCGGCCCACTCCCAGCCTGAGTCCTGGGGAAGCAGAGGAGTACAGCAAGCTTCTTGCCTGCGGCAGTGAGACCCAGGCGCTCCCATGGGTGGCCCCAGGACACCTGTGGCCACGAGCACGGGTCCCTGAGGACGGGAGGTGGAGTCCAGATGGGAGAGGCCCTGGGAGAGGCCTGCTCTTCCTGTCTTCCCGAAGAGGCCACCCGTCTGGGCCCAGGCCCAAAAGGCAGACGGGACGGGGGTGGCCTCTCAGGGGGAGGAACAGCGGAGTGAGGGTAGGGGTGGGGCGGGGCCCGTGGCCAGGCCTCTGAGCAGAGCTGGGCGCCGCCCCGCCCTCTCGCCTTCGGAGCGTGGTACAGAGGACGCGTAGGGCCCGCCGGTCTCCGTCGGCCGGGCCTGGAGGAAGGGAGGGTGGTACAGAGAGTGCCTGTCCCCAGGACGCTCCCCACGGGCTCGGGAGCACACCTCCCCGAGGCTGGCGAGAGGCCGGGCTCGGCCGCACTTAGTGGCTGTGCGCCCGGGTTGGCGTCAGGCGGGGCAGCAGGGGCTTCGCGTGGCGCGGAGGCTGCCAGGGCTGCCCGGTGCCTCCCGGGAGGCAGGCCCAGGGCCGTGGGCAGGGCTGGGGCTGAGGCGGGAAAGCTGGCTCCCATCCTCAGCAGTGCCTGGGTGACGGGGCGGCCCTGAGAAGGTGCCACCCGGCCTCCGGCCTCCGTCGGTGAGCAGGAAGGGCCCGGAGGCCACATCCAAGGCCCCGTCCACCCCCGATCTGCCAGCCTGTCTGTGCCCTTGCGCCCCGGCTCTCTGGCCCCTGGGCTCCTCCTCCACAAAGGAGAAGAGACAGTTTTCACCCTCCAGGAAAAGCTCGCAGGCCGTGGGGGGCGGGTGGGGGGCGGGAGGAAGACGGTCCCACCTGACGGAAGGTAGCAGCGCAGAGGCTGCAGGCAGGCACCCCGTCCTCGCTGTAGGAACCCAATGGCGGCTCACTGCGTCCTGCGTGGAGCCTCACCAACTGACCGCAGGGAGGGAGGGAGGGATGGAGAGAGCCCGGGAGGGGGTGGGGCAGCCACGCCCCCCTCCCCTGCAGCCCAGGCCTCGGGCGCTTCTCTGGCTCCCCCCACCCCCGCCCTGGGGTGTCGCGGGAAGAGCCAGAGCGAGAGCCGCCCTCTTGTGGTGACCCCAGACCAGGGGCACGGAGGGGGCCCCACATCCCCCACGGCAGGCAGGCAGTCGGCCGAGGGACTCACTCGCGTCCTGCGCTCTGACTCTCTTCCAGCGTGTGGCAAGCTGACAGGCATAAGTGACCCCGTGACCATCAAGACCTCCGGCTCGAGGTTTGGGTCCTGGATGACGGACCCCCTGGCCCCAGAAGGCGACAATAGGGTAAGTGCCCCCCACCGGGCCTGGGCCCAGGGGGCCTGGGACAGGGTGCCCTCGTCGGACATGGTGGCCTCTGTCCGTGAGCTCCTGGCTCTCACGCCGGTGCCAGGGTGCCCCCTGCGCCCGCCCCAGCAGCGCACTCCAGGGACCGAGCGGGGCTCGGTGCCCCAGGGGCTTGTCACAGAGGAGGGGCTGGGTGTGAGGGTGCAGCGGACCCCGGAGGGCCCGCCCCAGGCCCGCGCCCCAGACGCTCAGAGCCTGAGGCCACTCAGCCGGCTGTCTGTCGGAGCCTCTGCTCTCCACCCGGGGAGAGCCCGTCGGGCCTCTCTCGTTAACTGACACCTCCTTTGTGTTTCAGTCACCATTCCCTTCACACTGACAGAGCCCCTCTCCTTTTGATTTAGGAAAGAGGCCAGGTTTTGGGAGGGGGCGGTTTTCCCTGGCCTTTTCCCACTGGCGTGAAAACTCAAAAAAGAGAAACCAGCGCCACGCTGGTCTTGATCAGGGGCCTGGGCCCCGTTGTTGCGGCCCCTCTGGGACCTGGGGTGTGGGGGCCTGGGGCGTGGGGACGTGGGGCGTGGGGACGGTCCGGCAGGCTGAGAGCTGGGGCACCACAGGGCGGCCTCCGCACGGGGCTTCCTCTGCAGGGAGGCTCCGCCCACGTCCTCCGCAGAGGGGAGAAGTTGTGCATGTTTTGCTGTCCTTTCGTGGCCACCAGCCTGACCATTGTCACCCCCACCCAGCAGTCAGGAGCCCCCTTTCCTTCAGCGGCTTGCGGGTCATTTAGAAAACAAACACTTGAGGGGAAAAAAAGAAACCTCAACTCTCCCTCTGGGCGGACTGAGGCTTTCTCAAGGGGCCGGGCAACGCGAGACCCCCTGAGCCGCATCTGGAGGGTCGGGCCCCTCTCTGCTGAGAGTTCCCGCCCCAACATCGGGCGGGCGGCACCGGGCACGGCCTCGTGGGTGTGAAACGTGAAGTGGCCCCTGCTCTTCCGGCCTCCGCCCTCCTCCTGGGGAGACCAATGTGGGGACAGGACTGCGGGCTTCGGGAGCCCCCGGCGGGAGGGGAGCCCGGTGTCACCCTCGCAGGGGGCCGCGTCCTCCGGGACGCTCGCCCAGTGTCTGCTGGGGGAGGGGCCTGGAGGGGCCTGGAGGGGCCGGCTGCACCCGGAACACTCCGGACAGGGTGCGGGTCGGGCCCTGCGGGGGAAGGTGGCCTTCCTTTTCCTTTCTGCGTTGTTTGGGGCGGCCGGCTGGCGCTTCCACGCTTTCTAACAATGTAATTGACTAACGGTCACGCCAGCTGCCCCTGGGTCCACAACACACCTGGAAAACCCCACCTCTGTCTGAGAGCAGTGAGGAAGGTGCTCTTGCCAGAGACGTTGGCCATGAGAACGATATGAAAAACGGCGACGGCTGGCCTGAGGCTCGGGCCGGCGCGCCGGGCACCGCGGAGGCGCTCCGTGTGTGCCGTGACTCCTCGGCGCCAGGGAAAGGCGCCCCCAGCGCACCGCACGTGCCAGCCCTGCGCTGCGCGCGCTGGGGGCCTGTCCCCGCTGGCCCTCCAGCGCCCCTCCAATGTGGACGTCACTGTTGCCTCCGCCGAGCGGATGAGAAAGCCCAGCGGGGTCGCGTGACTTGCCCAGGGCCTGGGGAAGGCTGGCCGGTGGTTTTGTTAACCGTCTACCGGGGCTGAGTCTCTTGCTGCCACCCACTGCGGCTGCCCTCCGCCCGACCGGCCTGCGGTCGGCGCACAGCCCACCCGCCCAGGTGGCCCTGGGGGTGTCCGGGAGCCGGAACCAATGTCCTGAGCGCTGCAAACAGGCCTCTGGGCCCAGCCTGCTAGCCGCTCGCCTGGTCTGAGCAGGCACTCCCTCATCAGCGCTCAGATTCCGAGGGCCGGGTGGGGGGCGCCCGCAGACCGCCTCCCCCGCACAAGGGCGTCGATCCGCAAAGCTGTCGGGCGGTGATGGATGCTCCTGATAATTAGACATCTGTTTTCTGCCTGATGGCGTGCCCGCCCTCCAGAAAGGCAGGCCCTGGTGATGGACAGAGGAGGGGGGCGGGGGCCAGGGGGGAGCGAGGGGCTGGCAGCGGCGCCGGGGCCGTCGGCGGCGAGCCCGGCGCCGACTCCCAGCCCGCCAAGTGGCGCGTCCCCGGGTCCTGCCAGTGATCTGGAGGAGACTGTTCTGTTTGGTTTGATCTTTTCCATTCTCCCGTCCAGTTTTGATTACACACACAGGCAGGAGACCAATAACTGGCTCCAAAAAAAAAAGAAAGGGAGATCAATGTCTGCTTCAGCGCAGGCTGGCGCAGGGGGCGGCGCGGTGAGGGGCGCGGCCGAGGCTGAGAGCTGGGAGGGACCCTGGTCGGCCTCTCTAAGCCACGCGGCTGCCTTTGTGCTGAGCCCGCAGAACAGGGTTCACGGGGGATGCCTGGGCTCCCTTGGCTCATTTATTAAGCTCCAACTGTGTGCCCCGCGTTGTGAGGGCTCTGGTGTTCCTCCACCAGGTCCAGAAAACGCCATCCCTCAGCCGTGACCTGCCCCCGCGCTTCTGGCCCTGATGCCAGGCTCCCGTCCCCAGCCCCCTGCCCGGCTGGGCTCCTCCCCCTCCCCGGGACACACACGTGCTCCAGGCACCCGGCTCCCCAGAGCCAAGACACGCAGCTCTGGCTGCGGACCCTTCCGGAGTCCGGCGCCCGCCTCCCTCGTGTCCGGCTGCCCCTGCCTGCCGTAGGAGCCCAGCCTCGCTCACCCTACGTTAGCACGGGACCAGCCTCCCTCGGCGCCCCCCGCCCTCAGCCTGGGGGCGAGAACTCCTGAGCTGACAGGGAAGCTCGCAGCCAGTCTGCGCTGGGCTGGGCCCTGGTGGCGGCGCAGGGGCAGCGTCTGGCCTGCGTGCTCCGTGCGCAGCTACAGCAGAGGTCTCCAGCTTGGCTTCTGCGTTATACTGTTAGCAGATTTTTTAAAGTTTCGGTGCCGAGGCCGCAACTCAAACCAGTTAAGTGGGTGTGGTGGGGCTGGGCCTCGGACCCCGGGCTTTTTAGGCCCCTCGGGTGACAAACAGAGGCAGAGGACCGAGGGGGGTCTAGTCCAGGGCGAGCAGCCGAGGCCCCGTCAGAGCGTCCGGCCCTGCACCTGGAAGCTTTAACCAAACACCAGAGCCCGGCCCACCCCAGGGACCGGATTGTTCCGGCGTGGAAGCTCCAGGGGGCCAGATGCAGCAGGTTGAGGAACAGGGGTCCCAGGCTGCTGGGATCTTTGAGGGTGTGGTCCTGGGTGAGGCCAGGCAGCGGGGGGCGCCCCTGGAGGTGACAGGGTCCCACCTGAGCTCAGGACTTGCCCGGGAGGGGAAGGAGGAGGCGATGGGTGAGCGTGTGTTCTGGGGGCCGGGGCCGCGATCAGTAGGCGCTTTGGGCTTCCGGCCGTGGGCTTCCCTGTTGTCCTCATTGGCTTCTCACTGGCGACTTGGAGCCCCCGGGCCGAGAGCTGGTTGTTCAGCATTCGGCACCCTCGCTTTCCCTGCTCCCCCAGAACTGCGGTCTCCAGACGTGGTGTTTACAGGAAGAAAAGGCGGTTTAAAAATCCTTCATCACTTGATGCCGATTTTACCCAGTTCCATCCACAGAAAGGAGGTGCTGGGCCCTGGGGCGCAGGGACACGTCAGGCCCTCAGACCCGTCCCGCTCTCAGAGGCCCAGTCGTGGGTGGGCAGGGGGTGGGGGCGACATTTGCACACAGTCACGAGGCCCTCGCCTTGCCGAGGTGGGGAGAGGTTTCTGGGAGGGGTCAGGAGAGGGTCGGGGGTCATCTTTGGACTGTTTGGAAAGAAGCAGTGAGCTCCCCGTCTCAGGAGACAGCCAAGCAGAGGCAGGAGGGCCAGTTGTGGGCGAGGTGGTCGTGGGCACACGCCCTGCGTCCCTCCGGCCCCTCGCCGCCCAGTGCAGCCCTCGTCCTTACCCGTGACCCCGTCACTGCGGGTAAAAATCCAGAAGTCTCAAAGGGGACCCAGTTTTGTTTTGTTTTGTTTTTAAATCCCATTAAAAACAAAAAGCACGTCTGAATGAATGTCTCAGGAACAAGGTTCTGATTTTGAAAACTGCTGACCTCCTGCGTTACGCCATGTCTGAAAGCTGTCGCGCGAGCTTCCCGGCGCCGGGGGGCCGGGGCGGAGGCCGCAGGTGTGGCCACAGCAGCCGCCAGCCCCGGTTCCGCCGACCCCCCGCACAGCTTCCTCGCTCGCGCCCGCGCTGGAGGTGACTGAAGCGTTCTATACATAATTTAGACGGTTTCGCGTCCGTTGGCATTTAAGCAACAATCGGAAGTGTCTTCCTCCGCGACCCCCACGGGGCCACTTCTGGGACTGGGACAGGCCGGGCCTCGGGAAGCCTGTATTCCTGTCGGAGAGGCCGTTTCCCACACCCCGAATGACGAAGAGCGATGACCCTCACGGCGGCCGTGTCCCAAATGCCGGCTGCTGCCGCAGAGAGCTGGCCGCGCACGTGGAGCGTGCGGGCGGGCGGGCGCCCCTGCCGGCAACCTTGATCCCGGGTCCGCACTGAGGCGGCCGTGCCCTCTCCAGCGCTGCCTTGCTGGCCTGGGCTTCATACCTGACGGCGTCCCGCCCTCCCCAAGTGTGAGCGCCCGCTGTGCGCCCGGGGCTGGGGGGGGAGAGCCGTGAACACGCAGGCGTGCCTGCGGACCCACGGCCCGGGGCGCCCGGCGGAGGACGGGCTCTGGCCCTCCTTGCCGCCCACAGGGGCTTCAGAGGCCCCCTCCCCTGGCCAGTCCCCAAACCAGACGCGCCTCCGCCCGGAGTCTGGGAGGAGGGCTCGGCATCGCCTTGCCCTGCCCGCGCTCCCCGGGGCTCTCGGCCCCGCGGGCGCCCGCCCCGGCGGCCCGTCTCGGGCGGAGCCCCTAACGGTCCGTTCTCCCCGCAGGTCTGGTACATGGACGGTTACCACAACAACCGCTTCGTGCGCGAGTACAGGTCCATGACCGACTTCATGACGACGGACAACTTCACGTCTCACCGCCTCCCGCATCCCTGGTCCGGCACCGGGCAGGTCGTCTACAACGGGTCCATCTACTTCAACAAGTTCCAGAGCCACATTGTCATCAGGTTCGACCTGAGGACGGAGACCATCCTCAAGATGCGCAGTCTGGACTACGCCGGCTACAACAACATGTACCACTACGCCTGGGGCGGCCACTCGGACATCGACCTCATGGTGGACGAGAACGGGCTGTGGGCCGTCTACGCCACCAACCAGAACGCCGGCAACATCGTCATCAGCAAGCTGGACCCTGTGTCCCTGCAGGTGCTTCAGACCTGGAACACCAGCTACCCTAAGCGCAGCGCCGGCGAGGCCTTCATCATCTGCGGGACCCTCTACGTCACCAACGGCTACTCGGGGGGCACCAAGGTGCACTACGCCTACCAGACCAACGCCTCCACCTACGAGTACATCGACATCCCCTTCCAGAACAAGTACTCGCACATCTCCATGCTGGACTACAACCCCAAGGACCGGGCCCTGTACGCCTGGAACAACGGCCACCAGATCCTCTACAACGTCACCCTCTTCCACGTCATCCGGTCCGACGAGTTGTAGGGGCCTCTGCCTGGAAGCCAAGAGTCCCAAGCCCTCGCCCACGTGGACGTCCCCGCGAAACAGCTGCCAAAACGATACTAACGATACTAATCACACTAACCCTGGACACTCATCAGCAACGTGGAGCCCGGCGTCGTGCGACGGCGCGACCTCCCGTGTGTCTCCAGCTCAGGCCCGAGGGCGACGGGATTGGGGAAGAAACCTCCCCCGCAACTTTGCAGCTGGAACTGCAGCCCGGGGCTCCCCTCGCCGCCCCCGCCCCGTTTTTGGTCAAACCACGTCCCGACGAAGTAAGGCCATGTCCGTCAGCCAGTTCTCGCCCGAGGACACCCCACTGTTGGGATCGCATGGACCTCTCCTTAGACCGTGGTCAGCGCTGAGAGCCGGGCGCGCGCGGCGCCCGGCGGGGTCGACGTAGGCTACCCCCGCTCGTACCCTGTCGCAGCCGCTGCCCCTCGACCGTGTGTTGTGTCTTAGATTAACGTGCTGAAACTCCAGTAGCCTGTGCCCCCTGTGTCTAGTCCCTGCCGCGCGGCGGCGGCGGCGGCGTGCGTGGCGCAGCCTGCCGCGGGGCCGCGTGCGCGCGCCCACCCGTAGTGTATCGTGCAGCGTGTGCCCTTGTCCCTTGAGGTGGTGGCCCTGTGCGTCCGGTGTGTGCAGTGGATGTTGTCATGCAATGCCGTAGTTTGGATCAGTCAGTGGGTGGTTCTGTCGCTAAAAAGAAAAATAGTAACCCTGTTCGCCCTCAGAGAGAGATACCCAAGTTCACAGTGAGGACTGTCGAAGGGATTGTTCTCTTCTTGTCCAACGATCTCAACCTCGTCGCCGCGGACGAGAAGCGCGCCTCTGGGGAGGCCTCCGAGTCCGGCGGGAAGGGGGGCTCCCCGACAGCGTTGGTGTGCGGAAAGCCCGTTTTTTAAGTAAAAAAGAGGGGAACTTTGTACTCTCCAGTTATCTAAGGAACAATAAACATATTAGGAGATGTTTGCGCTTCCCTTGTCATTTCTGAGGGTTTGTAAATGATGGATTTTTCCAGAGCCTCACGGACATGGCCCAGAACGTGTCTCCCAGGAAGGGGAAGGAAGGACCCTCCTTTCAAGGGTTGACAGTGGACACATTCCCTTTGGGTCTCTGACCGCCCATCCCCCACAGTTGGAGCCTGGAGGTCGTCTTGGCTTCCCCTCCCCCATTAGGGGGACAGGAATCAGGGCTTCACCCCGGGGGCCCCACCCCCACCCCACCTCTGCCCACTCTGCCTGCCAGGCTCCCCCAAGGTCGCATCTGGAGGGAGTCTGGGACCAGCCCCCACTTTAGATATGGGGGGGCACCAGCAGAAGCCTTGCTGAAGAGTGGGGAGGGGAGCCCCAGGCCCTCTGGCCAATTCGCTTCCCAGCGGCCACTGTGGGTCCTAGAGGTGACAGCCGGACTCTCGTCTGGGATCTGGACCCCCAGGCCTTGGAGACCAGGAGCTTAGGGCATCCAAGGAGCCCAGGTGCCACTGATGCCAGGTGAGGCCCTGGCTCCGAGCAGGTTGTGAGGCACCAGCAGGACAGACACCCCCCAGGGCCCTGAGCCCGTCCAGAGTGCCCCGGGGCTGCGTGCAGGCCAGGAAAGGGACACTGTGCCGCCTTTCACAGGACGCATTTAGGACCCGGCCTCCGAGGTCCGAGGCGTGGCGTGGCCGGCCCTCCCCTCTGCCCGGGGCAGTGGCACCAGGATGCCAGGCCAGTGACGCGGGCCCTGGGAAGCACCAGTGGTCCCCGGGAGCCCGGCCCGCCGGCGCTGCCCTCCGGCCGGTGAGGGAGCAAACCCGCACGCACCCTGAGCTCCCGCCATCTGTCCTGGAGAGGTGGGCGGCTGGCGCCAACCCCACCCCCGCGGTGTCGGCGGCACGTAGATGGGGCGGAGCTGACGTTCGCAGCGCTCCGTGCACGTGGGGGCGTCCGTGGCGTCCAGGGGCGGCCGTGGGCCCGCTCGGAGGTGGAGCCAGTCTGCGAGGGAAGCCACCGGGCGAGCGCGTGCCCTGCAGGTGCCCTGGCGACCGGCCTGCCAATAGCTGGGAAAACACAGCATGAAAACTAGGGCGGACGCCCTCGGGCCTCCCCATGGCCCCCCACCCCGGGCAGGGCAGGGGTCCGGCTAAAGCAGGAAGTTTGTGGGTGCGCCGCACCCCCCGTTAGGGCGTGAGAGCCCTGTGCGCGTGTCCTTAGATGGTGGTCGTCTTCCCTGGGGGCGGGGACTCCGGAAACGTGCCAGCCGCTGTGGGACCGCGCTGACTCGGCGTCCTGGCCACGGGGGCCCCGCCCCCACCCACCGGCCGGCCGGGGCCCCACACCCGCGAGCCCCTGGCTCCTGATCTCCACGGCAGGGAGACAGGGCCGCCTCTCCAGGGGCACAGGCGGTCTCTCAGCCCCCTCGCACATGGGCCCTCCCCGCCCGCCCACGCCCTGCGTGCCCCCTCGGCCCCCCACGCAGGTCTCCACCCCATGCCTGCGCTTGCTCAGGAGCCCCTGGGGCCCTCGGCAGCGCCCTCCCCACCACCCTGCCTCCCCTTCTGCAGCTCAAATGGCAACGGCCCCACCTCCTGGAAGCTTCTCCCGCCCTTTCTCCAAGGAGAAGCCCCTTGAAGTCCTCCCTGTATGGGCTTCTCTGCCTGCCCTGCTCCCAGCCGTGGCTGACTCGTTCACACCCACTTAAGCTTTGGGATCCACCAAGCCCGAAACCAAGAACTCCGAAAACCCTTCCCTGCTCTCTATTGTCTCTGCTGCCGCTGCCGCTGCCGCTGCCGGGGACAATAAAGCACCAGCAGCAAAAGGGAGAGGGATGCCTAGTCCTCGGTCAGAGCCTTATTGGCTGGAAGTCCCCGCTCGAACCACGGCAGGACCCGCCTGCAGTTGCAACTTTTAGAGGCAGGGTGGGGTGCCTTTTGATACTTTCATGTTCACAAAATACCTCGGGCTGAGATGGCACGCGACGCCCTCCCCGGGAGAGACGGACGGCAGCTGCGAGCCTCAGAGAAGCCCAGGGTTCAGTGACGCAGTCCCCGCGGCCACCAGCTGCTCCCGACAGGACGCGGCCCTGTCCCGGCGCAATCGGCGGGACCGTCTTGTACTTAGAGCTGCAATTACGGGCCGATTTCTCCGCAATTTCCCCTAATGACAGCGGAAGAAACAAATGTACAATACCTGTTCTGAGTCACCGGAAGACAAAAGGGTGGCCTGGTGGGCCCAGAATGGATTTAGTGTCTGAGCCTGTGTGTTTGCAAGGGAAAATACTCCTCCAGGATATTAAACACACAAGAAAAATGGTCCCGCCAGCCAGCAAATAAAACAGCCGGCCTGCTACTAAATCTCCCAGATTCCAATAACAGAATATATTGGCTGACGGCAGAACAGCTGCGGATGAATTTTCTTTATTAAAAGTTGGGCCTGGGATCAGGATTTAGCCATTGTTTTGGGTGTTCGGGAGCCAGGGCGTGAGACTCACCCTGGTGCCGCGGGGCCTGGTGTTTCCCGAATTTCCACAGAGTCCCTGCCCCCGAAGGGAGCCCGTGACGGGTGAGCCCACGCAGGCTCCCGGGGAGCTCCCCCCACACACCCCGCTCCTGGAGAGGCAGGACGCCCCTACGGAAGGCGTGCGGGCAGGTGGCACGGTGGCCGTGCCCGTCCCAGCTCCGCCCCGTGAGCGGGGAGGAGGCAGCCGTGTGGGCGGGACAGGTGGCCTCTGGCATTCTCGGGCAGTCCGGGGCCACCGTGCAGGAAGAAGGGGACTGAGGGCCGGGGGTCATTTCAGGCAGTTGAACATTCTGGGATGGGAATAGCCTGTGTCGTCTGTTGTAACATGTAGTCTGAATCCACTTGAAGGTTCCCAGTGGGAGCTTGTGTGTGATGACCCTCAGAAGACACCACGTTAGCGCCGCCCCCCGCCCCCCGCCAGCATGTGTCACCTTGGCCTGAGCAGCCCTGCAGGACAGACGCCGGGCTCCATGGCCTCAGGTGAAAACTCTCCCGGGGAAGCTGAGCTCCCAGCCCGTGCGGGAGGGGCCCCGTCCACAGGGGCCACGGACGGACAGGGAGACGCATCGGGCGGGCATGTTACGGGTCCTCGCGGGTCAGCGAAGGCCGGGGCTGCCTGGGCAGGGGCTGAGCCCAGTTTTGGACGAAGGCTTTTCCTCAGCGCTCCTGAGGCAAGGAACCCCCCAGAAGCAGCCCCTAGAGGCCGGAGCGGGGATCTGGGGGCAGGGGTTTGGGGTCAGACCCCTGTCCCGCTGCCGGTGCAGGTGAAAAGGGCATAATCAGGAAGAGCCAGCTATGGGGACTGCAGGGTCGCAGGGACCGAGGCTGAGTGCCCCCCCCCACCCTGGGACGCACAGCGGCAGGGCCGCCCCCGGCTCAGGGCCACCAGGCCCAGGCAGAGACCATCAGATAAGCTGTCCCATCCCTGGTGGCCCAGACCCACAGTGCTGACGAAGACAGCCCCTCCCAGTGTCCTCTGGGAGAGCTGTTTCCGAAAGGGCCTCCCGTTTTAGCAAATCCGCGGGGAGAGACTATCTTCACGGGCCACGGGGCCGAGACATGGAGCCCCTCCGCGCCAGCAGCAGGGACAGGCCCCCGCCGCGCTCACACCCCTCCCTCACGCAGGAGGCGCCCCGCCCGCAGGGTGCTCTGCGCTGTGCTGTTTGCACGCGACGGTTTTCTCTGAAGGTGACGTAAGGGACACGGAACTCTCCTTGCTCCTTTCCGTGGCCGTGTGGCCTTTCTGCCGCGTGGACACGACGCCGTGCGTGTCAGCAGCGCGGCCCTGGTGGTCCCAGGTCGTCTCCAACACTCTGCTCGTAAGAGCAGCCTCTGTGCCAAGTCACATCCCGTGTGGGCTCGCGACAGGCGTCTTTGGGCAGAGTGTCCGCTGTTTTGCCCGAGGCTGTTGCAGCCCCTGCGACAGGTCTCCCTCCTCCTCCCCCGATGGCTGGCCTCCCCGCCGCGTCCGGAAGCCCTTCGGGTGTCTTCCAGTCTGGCAGGTGAGGCCTGGGTCAGCCAGCAGCTCTGGGCTCGGCCCCGGTCCGGACACCGGGAGGCGTCTCCTCTGCGCGAGCCGCACACCCTTCCGGCCGCGACACCAGCGCCTCTGCAGCTCCGCCCTGTGCCGGGTGGGCCCGGCGTTACCTTCTCCCCAGGGGCCGCCCGGCTGCCCCAGCGCCATGCGGAATGGCCAGGCTTTGTCCCGCAGTGAAGCCGAGCGTCCTCTCAGCCTGCGAACCATCTCCAGGCTCTGGGTCTGCGATGCTGTCCCTGGAAGGGGCCACGCACATAAACGGGGTGGATGTGGCCCGGGGGTGGCGACTCATGTCCTGTCTGACGGGCACTGTCTCTGCCGGGTTTCCAAGGGCTGCTTAAACGGCAGGTGCACAGCGACACCCGCCCCGTGACCACGATGTCCCGCCCGACTGTCGCTGACTGAGTGGGATCTTTGCCTTCGGCCACTCTGCCGGGTCTGCGAAGATGAACGCGGTTTGGGGAGAAGGTGTGCCTGAGGGCTCTCTGTTCTCAACAAAGTGTGGGGCCCCCGAGACGGCCGGGACCCGCCCAGGTGAGGGCCTGTCCCTGAGGCGCCTTCGGGGGCTGAGTTCCCCCCGTTTCACGGACGTCCGCCCGGGGAGAGCGAGCAGCAGCCGGGCTGCCGCTCAGCGGCAGGTCAGCCTGCAGCCCGTGCGGCCCATCATGGCCCGCTCGGCCTGCCCTCCGGCCGGTGAGTCACCGGACGCTTATTCATCACACGGCAGGCGGCAGAAGGTGCCGGTGCGGTGAGCCCGGCAAGGATCCGGGCTCGTCCTCCAGCCCCAGGTGCCGGTGAGTCACGGATGCCAGGCGGCGCTGAGCCAGGCAGCGGAGGGAGGCCGAGCGCCAGGGCGGCCAGCCAGTGGGCGGCGACCTTCCCTCCAGGAGCCCTCCATCCCGCCGCCCCGCCCCGTGCACACA